TCCGATCCTCGAGGAATAAAACACCAATTCTGTTTGCACACACACACACACACATGCGGACCACCATGTCGCAAACAGGACGGCATATTTCGTCTGAATGACTTGACTAATTGTACAAATGTAGACGCATCTGTACGCTTGTTCGCATTTGTTGTTGTTGATGATGATGGTGGTGATGGGGATGGGGATGATGATGATAGCGATTACATGCGCAGGACCAGATCATCGGCCAGCCATTCAGATCCAAATGCTAATATTATCCACATCCCTGCTCCATTCGTTTGCTTATATTCTTGTTTGTTGCGGTTACAATCGACTCTATTGTGCAAAATTATCGCTAATCTGTTTAGGGCTAATGCTGTTGGTGTTTAATTGATGCATTGGGCGTATGTGCGCAGGCGCGTGCGCGTACTGGGTTGTTTAAATGAACTGATTGTGCGAACGCTCACGAGTATACACGTACGCGCCTAGTTTGCTTGGAGGCACTGGTGTGTGTGTGTGTGAGAAAGATAGAGGGGAGGGGTGGCGATAACAATAATTAGAATTTGATGAGGACAAAGATCCTAATAGCGATAATGATAGGAAGAACAAATTTTCGGTTATCGTAGTATTCCGATTGCAATTACGCACGTTTGTGTGTGTGCGTGCGTGTGCGTGGAGAGAGTTGACTGTTTTTCGTTTACGAATGAGTGCGCGTTTGCGTACGTAAACATCTAATACCGTGATTATAGTGTACTGTAGTGTCACATCAATTCGATGCTTGGGGTAGACGGGGAGGGACGTTTTTTTGCGATATGCTCGTAGATAAATAGGCACATACAATGGAAGGGATAAGAGCGAGTGGGTGGAGATTATTATGAACGTTATAGTGAGGATAACCGCATTAAGAAGTATCAAAACGTTGCTGTTTCTGTGATCAATTTGAACCAGACTGAATTACAATCATGGAGCCAATTAAAAGGCTCCTCTTTGATTGTTTGTAGATCGATCGATTTTTTGTCAAGATCCCCAGGTACAGTTGTTTGTCCCCATATCTCACTCCCGCGTGTTTAATTTGGTCTAATTTTGAGGGTAATTATTGGTGACTGACTACGCCGAACGCATGCCCACGTAAATTGGTCCGTTCCACTCCCCGCCCCTCACCATAAGCCTCCTTTCGCCTAAACATCGTGTGCATGAAAGAATCAAAGGCTTAATTATATTGTTTATGGGAGGTGCAATTTGTCAAGCGACTCACTCGATCTTTGTGAGGGTAGCTTTGTGTGTGTGCGTGCGCGCGCGTGCGTGTGAAATGATTAATCAATCGCCCGAAAAAGGGGATTCCCGAAGACCATATTGAATGAAGGAAACAACAGACTGTTCGAACGAGTTGGTGAACTTCCCCCGCTAGACGCACAGAGTGCACTAATTAAGTTTCGACATTTTGAAAATTCAATTTCAGTTTGATTTCCGTTTGTGTGTCCGTGTCAGTCGCAGGGCAATTTCCAGTGGAGACTGGGAATAAGAGGTGCGATTAATTTTCATCCAATTTCGTTTTAGTTATTTGCTGTCGTGACAACCTTTGTATGCGCACTTCCTGAGGGCTGTAATTGCGATTGGCTGGAACTGGGTGATTTGGTACCCCACGGTGCAAATCCCGTTAGAGTCAGGTCTACACCGGACACAAAGAACAGACGGTTTCTTCTGATGGTTTGAACAACAGTTTGGTTTAGGGAAACAGAGACAAGTGGATTTTTATCACCCATATTTTCCAAGCTCTTTTTGAGGAGAACATTTTTACAAGTGAACCAATCACAAGGCTGCTGAAAACTCTTCGACAGCCCACGGCCGGTTTCGCCCTTCTTGGGTTCATCAGGTAGGCGCAGTCCCGGGTGTCCGTCAACTTGCCCCTTCTACTTGAACTGACAAGTGCTTTCATTTAACTACGAATCCCGTTTTGATTAAATTGAATGCCAATGAATACCTCGTTTATGATGAATCGCCGATCTCGGCATCCTTGTGAGTAGTGTGTTACGTTTGGAACATTTCTGAACCCTAATAGTCGGTACAAGTGAACCCTGAACGTACTTCTGTGTGATATATTTGTTCAAATATGCAGAGAAAAATGGTTGAAATGGAGAGATTATGCCCACCTAATGGGTTCCCCAAACAGAGTGAATCTGGCACCGAGCCGTTATCTCATGAAATATAAAAAGAATTGTCGAATCGACCGCACCACAGTAGAATGGACAGAGTACAGATTGACGTCCCAGAGAAGACCGTTGCAGACACTGCGAGCATATGGTATGCCTCAAGGATGACCACTTCTCAATGGGTACTAGGCAATAGTTAGTGGTCGACGGGCTACTTCACCGTTGACTCTCCACCAAACGGGCTCCCCTTCTCGCTGGTTCTAGTCGCCAGGCTAGTCAGTCACCACGGATATTACATAAACAGGAGCGAGATGGCTCAAGCGGTTAGAGCGCGAATTTACTGACCGGAAGGTCCGTGGTTCTAACCCGACCTCCGCCTCTCGACTTCCCCTGTCCAGACTTCGGCAACCTGGCAGTATCCCAGCCCTCGTGCTCCCTTCGGGTAGCATCTGGGCACCGGAAGGGCGTTACAGCTGAGATTTTTTTATTTTATTTTATTTTATTACACAAATAACTAGGACACAAATGTTTTTAGTAATCTAATCAGCACATTAAATTAGAGATCCATCCTCCGAGGAAATCGATCCACACAAGATGAACCAATTATTTATATCCCCCCCACCATGATTCCTCAATAAATGTTTCATTTTTTTAGAAATCTTCTGAACCAAACGAGATGGCAAATCAGGTCGAAATCACGTACGACATTTGCAGTACGTGGAGTTTGCTTACACACCCTCAACTGCTTACCGAGACTCTTATTCGCTTCGCTGTAGGTCAGAACGATGATAGTTGCATGGGATCAGTTGAGCCTCAGGCCACGTGACCGAGATCACTTTTGGAATACAGCGTTCACAATGCAACGACGAGTTTTAGGCTGTGTTGCAAGTCGCACTTACTTGTAGACAGAACAAAGTTCGAGTGACCTCACTCACGTCATACTCCATCGTCATCTAATGTAATTAAATGTTCAATTCAATCAAGGCAGGAAGTTTGCGGAGGAAGACGCTAACCCAACGGTTGTGGTAACCAACAAGCGCCCTGGGGCTCCCAGCATGATAAGCATCTCTGTAATACACTGCTCATAAGGTTGCTGAAAATTCGTCGACAGCCCAATTCGACAGTTCCAATTCGGGCTCATCAGGTAGGCACAGTCCACCCGAGTTTACGTCAACCTTATGTTCAGCTTGAAACGAAATTGCATGAAATTAGCGAATATACACTCATTTGCAAACTAATTTGTTTTTTTTTAGACTCACCTGGGACCCGGCTGAATCTCCCGTTTGTGATGTTTCCAGACTGTGCCCATCTGATAGGCCCCAAGAAGGGCAAAGCCGGTCTTGGACTGTTGACGAAGTTTCAGAAACCCTATGAGTAGTGCGTTACAAATATACATGTATCGCGATATCTCGAATATCGTGGTGACTGAAACATGAGGTGGCCTGGTGCAGCACATTCAGTTGCCTGGAAACACCACAAACGAGAGATTCAGTTGGGTTCCAGGTGAGTCTCTCGAAAAACCAAATTAGTTTGCAAACAAGTAGATTACGATAAAAGTCTGTTCACATTGACTGCTGGAGTTCCCACATCCTTTTGAGTGATTGCAGTCAGATGTTTGTGCTGCCTATTTGCCTGATGGATATCGCAGGTTTCTTTGAGACCAGACCCACATCACACAACTTTCTGTGACGGGAGTGAATACCTGCTGCTCATTGTAGCGCTGAGATGGAAAATCAAGGCCTCCATCGGGTCACATTTACCTTGTATGTTTATGCTCATATATTAGAAACCCGCCTCTCCGAGAATAGCGGTAGCTCGATTTAGAAGCATCCCGTTGGATTAGACTGTGATCACCAGCCCCAAACTCCTAGGCAGATCAGCTGTCAAGCGGACCGATTTTACGGCGGGTAGCAAGGAACGGTCTGGGCGTGGTATATTGTCAATCGAAAGAGATCGGAGTACTTGCGCAATACACCCAGACAGCCCTACTCGCCATAGCCCAGACAAGTGCCGCTCAGGAAAACTGTGGGCCTTTCTGTGCTTTCAGTACATTCAGTGGTCAACCCGCATCTCAAGACATACTCCGATCTAATTCTAAGTCGACAGGCAAAGTGACTGAAGTTTGTCCGTGGTATCGAGGCGCATAAGCGGGTAATATGGTAGAATAGACAATACCCCGGTGCAAATGAGAGTAAAGTATCGCTTGTAGGGCCTTTACTGTGCCACCCGATGGAAGCATGAGCACCAAGATACCGCCGACCTAGCAGGAGTAGTTGAAAGTCAGAGGTTCGCTTCCACACACGGACCTTACAAGTCAGTAGGCCCGCACCAGAATCACCGAGTTGGCTCAAGTTCTTGCTAAGGGACACAAAAACACGGATCCTTGAAAATCGTTCACCTACTCCCATCTGAGCTGAAACAGGCTCAAACCAAGGAAACTACTCACAAGGTTGCTGAAAACTCTTCGACAGCCCACGACTGGTTTCGCCCTTCCGATTCGGGCTCATCAGGTAGGCGCAGTGCCCGAGTTTCCGTCAACCTCATGTTCTACTTGAACTCAAATAGGACTGTTTTCGAGAAATCCACTCATTTGCAAATCAATTTGGTTTTCACGAGAGACTCAACTGAATATCATATTTATGCTATTCGTTAACTGAATGTGCTCACCATGAGGCGACCTGTGTGCACCGCATTCAGTTGTAGAATATCATAAACGAGAGATTCAGTTGGGTCTCTCATGAGAACCAAGTTGATTCGCAAATGAGTGTATTTCTCGAAGGCTCAAACCAACTTATCTACTAGCTTGACAAAACAACTGACGGTCAACCATTCGCGCCACCCTGGGAACTAGTTAGTCACCATTGGTGATCAGTAGTCTGTACTTGGGCCATCCGCCCAAAAAGCCGCGAGGGACCATCTTGGTTGCACCCTGCAACGTTACAAAGACCAAAAAATATGATTTTCCAAGCTAGCATTATATGTACATCTCAGCAAGACCTCCGACTTTCGAAACCTCTGACTTGAAGCCAACAAGTCCGCTATAACCAACCTGTTTTTTTTTACAGATCAAACATATGCACTGCTGGAGAATGCCTCTTAACGATGGTGAACATGTTGAGCCTTTCTGTCTACCGCAAGTTGATTCTGGTAAGGACCGCCCTTCACGACCACCTTCGAGATAATGGCAGACAGAAGGAGATGGTGAGTGAGATGATTCAGCCGACTGCCTATCCCTCCCGAACTTTAGACGAGAAAACTATGAAACGTCGATATCGGAGTCTTAGAGCTGTGAGCCGCCGGTTTGAGCGGATATTCGATTATTCGTCAATCACCACACAAATACAGGGATGATATCCCCCAAGAGTTGTATGAGTATCAGCCCCCCCAGCTCGGCAAACCCCCTTCTGGTTAGTATGAGAGGTAGAATCTGTTCCTTCTGACTGGTGTCTTCAGTTATCGGTAAATTAGTCTCACACACAGTTCCGGTAAGAATTCCGCCTCTATACACGCCCCAAAATAATTGTTGAATGCGCAAGAGGCTTGAAGACAACCAGACCAGGAAGGTTTCAGCTCGGACAAAGGTTGTGTGGGTTGTGTGTTGATTTCCGAAACACCACGACAAACCTTAGCTGCAAAACTTCGCCTGATTCATTGAATTTCGTGCTTGTTCCGCCCTTATTTGCCCCAAGTCAGACCGTTCTCCTTACTGATAGTGATCCAGTCAACAAAGGCTCAAATCGGCGTTTACAACGAAGAGGCCTCTGAGTATGAGCTTACCTCCAGTGTTAGGTAACGATGTTCTTCAGCACCAGTGGTATTCGATCGGGTGTGGTAAGTGGATAAATACTCTGACGTCCAAATGAGCCCAGTTTTCGAGTCTCAAATAGAACGATGACAATATCTTACTTAGCAAAGACGTAGAAGCTCTACAAACTAATCTTGACCGAGTCGTCTACTACTCGGGGCTCATCGGCTTGCAGTAAACCGCAGTAAGGCAAAATTCTATACTCAGAAAGTGCTAAATGGGTAACCTCTCTCATGGAATTGAAAGCTTCATTGGACCTGGTTTTCGGCACCGTCAGGTTAGATTCCGTTTCGGCCAGCCTCAGCGTACGGTATCGGTTGTTGGACTCCGAACTAGCTCTCAGTCCTTGCAGGTCTTGCGTGCAACCGTCGTATGGGACATTCATGGAGCACATACTCCTTTAGTGGCAGAGAACTACTGTTACCCTTTCCGATGGCTCTCCCCAACGAGAAAAGAGGTGTAGGCACCCGCCTGTTGACAACATTTTCCTCACATGTTATGATTAATTAACTGTCATATTAGAGTGCGCGCAAGTCTGCTCACTTCCAGCGGTTGAGCAATCGAAACACATGGGGCTCTCCCCAACACCGTGCACACGAATTGTCAACCTTTTTTGGCCTAGTCTGTCACGAAAAACACAGTCAGAAGAGCTCAATAGGAAATAAACTCTGCCAGAGCTGCTTTTTTACAGGCATGGCTCCATCACAGCAGCGATGATCTGACCACAGTCTTGTGCAAGTTGGAAGCTAGAATCGTACACAAACAAAAGAAAACATCTGAGTAGTGGTGTTTTCCTCATGACAAATGCGGAAGAAAAGTGACACGGTTGGCGTAATTAGTTGTGTTTTAATTGCACACAATGAACGACAGACTAAAACTATTGGCCAGTAGAACCAGTTGACATTTTCTCTTGTACGGGACGCACACAGTAAGACCTAGGAGCGCATCGATCCAAGTTATTTAATCCAAGCGGTCGATAGTGATACATTCACGAAGTTTCACTGACTTACGAGAACGTAGTTCAACGTAAACAAAGCCGCAACCAATGGTAGACTATTAATAAACCAGAAACGTTTGTGGATTTTGTGTGTGCCTTTTCTTTCGATGACGTCAAAAGACTAAGTAGAGTTGTCACACCAAGCGGTGATTACCCAGGGGCATGTCAAATTGGCTTCCTCAGACATGATCGAACAAGCAAGTGTGAATCGACCGACCTGTGTGTAAATAAACCGAGGTCCAGCTAGAGCAACAAAGTTAATGTTTCTTTAACCGGAATACCGCCCACATAATTGTGAGTAACTGCGTAAATTTAGTTCAGTTTGGTTTGGGCTGATCCAAATGCCTGAATAACATGTGAATCGACCGATGAATAACCAGAGAACCGACTGCTCTGGTCTGAAGGTCAGCTCAACTCAGTTATCCTTAGTTTGGCACAAATGAAAAGGTGTTTTTGGTAACCTTTTCGGATCTGTTCCAGATAAACCCCGCCACCAATGCGAAAGTGCATTGCGAACAGTTAGGCCCCGCCACTTCGCGCCAACTCCAATTTAATGTACGCACACAACCTTGACCTATTTTTGATGAAAACAATTCCTTATCCGCATCTAGGCTCGTTTTGTACAAAAATTTTCTCCGTCCAAACGTAAAACCTTAAATGAACTTTCTGATGCTTTCAACTCTCATTCATGACGAGGAGAGGGCAATACGTTTTTTCCGAAGCCACAGAGTGATCCATCAGCATCGTTTACACAACAGTGGCCACCAAACGACACTTTCACCTGTTTCTGACAGGTGGAGGTGTAATGCTCGACATTGTTGGCAAAAAATCGGTCTTCGAAAGGGAAATTGGCTGGAGAGGTCTAGGATGAAGTTTCGGACAGTAATTCTATTCATTTATTGCTGCTCCAAAAATTTGGTAAAAATCAAATTCTGCTTAAAGGAATTATCTACGATCGACAAGACCACTGTTGACTGGAAGAACTTTCTTCGCAAAGTTTGCACCTGGCGGCTTTTGCAGACTCCAACAAGTTATCGGCGGCCCAGGTCTACACGTCGAGCTCGATGAAACGCTAATATCTCGTCACAAAAACCACGCGGGTCTAGTCCTTTCACAGCAGTGGATTTTCGGAGGGGTATGCCGGGAAACTAAAGAGGTGTTCATGTATGCAGTGCCAGATCGAACTGCGGCCACTTGGATGGACACAATCCAGGCCTGCGCCACTCCGGGCTCAATCATCATATGCGATGTGTGGGCATCATACCAAGGAATCGAAACGATAATTGACATAAATTATACTCATAAAACGGTTAACCATATTGAAAACTTTGTGGATCCAACGACTGAAGCTCTCACCATCGAATCTCTTTGGCACGTCTACAAGATGCAGAATAAACGCCAATGCGACACACACCAATCTTTAGTGGACAGCTACTTGTGTGTTTGTTTGGAAGCCAAAGGTACCGAAAAACGGACCTTTCATGCAAATTATTAATGACATGTCCCAATTGCACCCCCTTAAATAAAAACTAAAAGTACACCTTTTATATCCTCTTTTTTCTAATCTTTTTTTTGGTGGGGGAGGGTTAATATTTTGGCGGGGCTTATCTGGAAACAAGATCCACCTTTTCCATCACATAAACTTGGTGCAGAATATCTATCTGATTGAACAAAAAATAAAATAGCGAGATTGTCATTTTGTTCTTTGTTTTGCGTGTTTATTGGCTCGTACAACCTTATTTGTTTAGAAACCTTTTACGATGATATGATACATCACTCCGTTAGCACACTTCACGATACTGAGCACTTTTCACCCAAATAGTATGAGAATAACCGTTTTTTCCTTGTCATCATGGGCTGGCTATGGGGAGCGATTCGGTATCGCGACGGGAACAGCTCATTCATAAAGATAACTTGTTTGAACCTGTTGCTTCCACATTTGGATGACTTTGTGGATGGCTCGTCAAGATGCACATATACAACTGGCGCTGCCGAAGATAGGTACTCGAATTAGGCCTTAGCAACAACAGTCTTGCAGGAAGAAAGGTTAATTATTTCCTGAAAGTCCCTGTTCGGCAGCCCTCTACCAGTCCCGCCCTTGTTGGGACTCATCACAGTTTCGGAGTTTCCGTCAACCGTATGGTCTACTCTCACCCGTACTGCACCACAATCCAACTGGGATTCAGGTGAGCCTCTTGTTGAAACCGAATTGATAAGCAAACAAATGTATTCGAAAAAATATTTCCAATTTTATCTTGTCTTTCCGACAGGATGGCGCGTACGAATGGATCTGCGATCGGTTTGTAATTACCCCGATCCGCCAAGCTAGGCTTCATCACCAGTCGACTGACTGTACTCACAACATGACCTTGACTGGTAATGAACATTGGCCACAGAGCCGCCTAGCTCGAAGAACAAACCAGCGACCACAACTGCTGATCATGTCTACACTTGCACACTTTGCTGCCAGACCCTTAGTAAACGAAGTAACACAACGGCGAAATGCGGTGTCTTATCGAATAAGGGAACAATTAGTCAATCTGCGAGATGGCGTTTCTTGAGAAATTTGCCTTAAGATCCAGTAGAACATAAGGTTGACGGGGACTGCACCTACCTGATGAGCTCGAATGGGAAGGGCGAAACCGGTCGTGGGCTGTCGAAGAGTTTCCACCAACCTTGTGAGCAGTTTCCTTTATGAAAAATACTGCGATATTCCGAATATCGTGCCCACTGAAACATGAGGCGGCCTGTGTGCAACACATTCAGTTGTAGGATAGCATAAACGCGAGATTCAGTTGGGCCTCTCGTGAAGAACAAATTGCTTTGTAAATGAGTGTAGTTCTAGAAAACAGTCCAATTTGGGTTCAAGTAGAACATAAGGTTGACGGAAACTAGGGGACTGCGACTATCTGATGAGCCAGAATTGGTAGGGCGAAACCGGTCATGAGCTGTCGAAGAGGTTTTAGCAACCTTGTGAGTAGTTTCTTTTATCGATTTAATGTACTTCATGAATGCGCAGCAAGCGGAAATCATTCTGTCTACCTACAATGTGGTCCTGATGTAGAAAAGCAACAAACTTTTGGTGTCGAAAAGGTCTTTGATGATTTCAGTTTTCTGAAAAAAAGGTGCAAAACTACTAGCAAAAAGAATAGCGTTTCGAGCCCAGTGCTGGTCTTTTTGCCGCTTCTGTATGGGGATTGAGTAACCTGTCTCAGAAACAGCTTCACCAAGACTTTCTTGGTCATGCAACCTTGTTTTTAGGGCCGCGACGTAGATTCGCATTTCATCAGTTCCATTACAACCAAGGTCGACCTGGTTATCTGCTTGATCCAGTAGTGTTTAGACGTCCTACGAGCTAATAGTTAACGGACTTGTCGAAAAACGTAATCATCTCCGATGTACTTGCAAGAGGGGGAAAGTCACGTGAATTGTTATACACAATCTGGAAGAGAGGATGTGAATGTCTGTCCTCAAAGACAGCTTTCGGCACCATAAGCTACCCGAAGGAGTGATTTCAACCCTTCTGCCTCTCGAGCAAAAGGCAGAGCCGCGTGCGCCCACCAACTAACAGGCAGGACTGTTCCAACTCAATTGTACACTGAACTATCGGTTGCCCCCCCCCTGTGCGTGCCCCCCCCCCCTGTGCGCCGACAAAACGACTACTCGGGCAACTCACTATGAATGAGACCCCATCCAGTGCACACATCAGAGCGGCGGTCGTGGCCGAATGATGGCAGGGAGCCATCCGGTACCGGACTCTCAAAACAAAAATCTAGCTGATATACACATCTTATATGTAAAGAATTCCAACCACCTGTGAATGGAAACATGTCACTGCATTCCAGAAACCACTAGATCCAGAAAGACCGACAAGCATGACATCAGTCATTTTCATCATAAAGCTGTCTTTCAATCTCGAAAGTGAATTCACTGCTGATCAGTTCTCCCGTTCGAACAACAAATCGGTCTTGGTGTTGTGTTCTGACAAGAGCTTCGTTTATGTTTTGTGGAGTGATTGTCAACCCCCAAACATCATCATGGTCAAGTTCGAATCCTACAATCCGAACAGCCAGTATGATGCGACTATCGACGATGACAACAAAGTACATTTTGGGATCAAGACAATAGGACGAAAATCGAGGGAACCATGTGGACAGAAGATACGTGACACAGGTGTTCAGCGGGGGTATCACGAGACAAACTGCCAGGAGCTAAGTTGGACAGGTCATCGGGACTATTCTGAGCAGTCAAGATGGTAAAATGCCAGCCAGCCAGCCAGCCAGCAATTTACTGTCTGGGGAATCGATTACCCGACGGGTCGTTTGGCTGGTACCAAAATAGTGAGTGGCTCAAAAGGCAGGTTGACAACAAAAACGGTTCATGTCATAGGTATTGTGTTTCGGCATCTGGATACACTGTTAGAATAAACACAATTGCTGCTGCAGCTGCGTGGAATTTTTTTTATTGATTTTTCCCCAATAAGCGCAGCCTGGACAGTGGAGCCAACTACAAAGTGTGACTTGTTGACATCTTAAAGAGGCCGCAGAAAGATCGATTTTTTTGCAGAAAGTACCTAAAAGTTGAATCTGAGGGAGTTCTCTTCGAATAAATGTTCCCAGCTCAACGGAAGCTTGATGTCACCGGCTGCTAAACACCAGTATCAGCTTGCACACAGTTTTTAAAATAGCTCTTGCAGATTGAGAAGACAACATGTCACATGAACCGTTTTCTGATCGTCTATCCTGACGAATGTCCAGTCTGAAAAGTGCAATTCTCACCTTCACGTTTTCTAAATTTGGAATGACCACACCACCGTACTCCCAGTCACTGCGCACGAAGTTTGCACATGTTAAGTGAGTTCGGATTAAATCAAGCAATTCTCTTCCATTTTCAACGCGTTGTTTATCCGAGACGTGTGGAATCAATAAATTTGTCGTCACTATAATTGATGTCTTGTGTTTACAGCAATGAGACATCATCTTCCCAATTAATAAATTGGCACATCAAATTTGGTTTTGCGAGAGACTCACCTGGAACCCAACTGAATCTCTCGTTTGTGATGTTCCCAGGCAACTGAATGTGCTGCACCAGGCCGCCTCATGTTTCAGTCGCTACGATATTCGAGATATCGTGATGCATGTATATTTGTAATGCACTACTCATAGGGTTGCTGAAAATAGGTCGACACCCCATGACCGGTTCCTCCCTGCTTGGGGCTCACCAGGCAGGCGCAGTCCCTGAGTTTCCACCAACCCTATGTTCTACTTGAACCCAAATTGGACTGCTTTCCGAGAAATACACTCATTTGCAAATCAATTGGGTTTTCACGAGAGACTCAACTGAATCCTGAGTGTGCTGCACACAGGCCGCCTCGTGACTCAGTTAGCATGATATTCGAGATATCGCAGTATATGTTCGTAAAGTAAACTACTTACAAGGTTGCTCAAAACTCTTCGACAACCCACGACCTGTTTCTCCTTTCTTGGGGCTCATCAGGCAGGCGCAATCCCCGAGTTTTCGTCAACCTTACGTTCTAATTGAAAACATTATAAGCGACAGGTTCAGCTGGGTTCGAGGGTGAGTCTCCCTCAAGACCAAATTTTTTTTACAAACAAGTGTATTCCGTTAGGGTCAAACACTCAACAGTTTCACGCTTCCTGAATTAACCACTCCCTAATCGCCCTCAACTCTTTGAGAAATGCATTCCTACTGGACCAGATCTCGACTCACTCACACACCTTCCTTTGAAAAAAATCGCCATTGATTTCACCGTCCGACTCAAGGAAGGTGGAAAAAGTCATGGCAATCAGATGCTCCAAATTTAGGAGATTTCTCCCGTTGGGTTTAGATCAGACAGGTATACCCTCAATCGTCCCAGAATCAGAATAGTTTTTCACTTGTGTGCACCGACCTCTTGAAATTTATTCATCAAGAGAAACAATGACTTCCTTGAGAGCGATTAGATTCCTTGAAACATTGGCTTGAGGCGTCGCCCAGACTACACATTTGCAACAAGCACTGCAGCTTGGTAAGTTGGTGTTCTTTTTTCACGAATTACTTACCAGCGACTAAACTGTTCATGCTTCATCCGTTCTGTTCATTTCCTGTCATTCTATATATATATGCTATCTTGTGTTGAAGAGCTTAGAAACCTCGCCTCACTGTCAGTTTCATATTTTGAATTTGAGCTCGGCTGACGGTAATCAACTGGAAATTACTTTCACTAATTAGTGGGCTATCATACCGAAAATCGGGCGCGGGACTATATTCCGTGTGATTGTCTTTCCAAACCATCAATGACTACTCATAATTAGTGCGACTACATCTCCCGAAGGTTTTCAAGCTTTCGTAATGCTATTCGGTTCGGTCCCATCTTGGTGGGAAAAAAAGCTACGGATACAGCCAGGATAGATAGTGGGTCACTGCTGGAAGCGTAACTGTGTGCGTTGCTCAGTCCAGAACATGTACCCTGTGTCCAGTTTGCGCCGGTGAAGCTGCATGTCAGATTTCAGAGTAGAAATTGTTATTTGGTTGATAAGAGTTACTACTAATCTGTCCCAAAATAATTCATACCAGAGCTTGTTGCCTTCCATTTCCTGCGGACTGACGACCGACCCGCGGCGTCTTGACGAAAATAAGATAGTTCAAATAAGAATGATGTGAGATTCCACAAATCTGAAAACAAACACTTATGACCTTGAACAAACACTACTCATAAGGTCGCTGAAAAGTCATCGATAGTTTACGCCATTCTTCGGGTTCCTCAAACTGAAATTGCACGAAATCCTCGAAACGCACAAACATAAACAAGAGAATGAGCTAGAATTCAGTTAGATCAAAATTGGTGTGCAAATTAGTGTATTCCGCCAGTTGTGTACGTGACCCTTGCAGTGGCAAATTCTGCAACGAGTAGTCTGGAATAGTAGAATAGTGTTTGAGCGATGTCTGCTGACTCTACTGTGGCTTGCGTGCGTTCGATACGAAAGCTTGATAGATTGTGGAGACGTGACCAAACCACCGACTGTCTTGGGAGTGGAGTTTGAATTCTTCGTGCCGTGATCACGCGAAAAAGGATCAATCAGAATGGGCCGTTCAAATCGTGTTAGTCAGATAGTGAGTGGTCCACCCGGAAGCACGAACAAAAAGCAATCTAAGCGCTTTTATGCCGGCCGATGATACATCCAAACATCGAAGCTAATGGCGTTATTCTGTGTCCTCGTAAAAGAGAACCCCTTACGCCCTTATCGGTGAACTGACTTGTTTAGGAGACTTCAAAACAGGAACTGGCAACCAATTTGAAGGCACCCAATGTAAGGATTCGAGCCTGGGTCTGCAATCTTATTCAATGATTTACCTGGGCTTTATCACCCAGGAGAATTCTTTTCATGAAAAAGATAGAAAATAACTTTCAGAATGAGCGTGTGTGAGCCAAAACGAAGGTGTATTTCACTTGCGAATTCCTCTCACTAAAATATTTAGGTCGACTGAATTGTATCACTCTGTACGTCTAAACTAGGGTTACTGCGCCTTACTTCACACGGCTTTGGTCACCTTGAGTTAGTCAGTTGTGCACAAAACTGTGGTTATAACGTTTCAAAAGCGGTCACAGTGCCGGCATTCGTGTGAAAAAATATTCTCAGTTCCACAGTAATTTAATTTTTGATGAGAGATCCAGCTGAATCAATATTCGGGATTATTCACGATACCGCCTGGACAAGTTTACTGAAAACTCTTCCACAGCTCACGATCGGTTTCGCCCTTTTTGGGGCTCACCACATAGGCACAGCCTCCGAGTTTCTGTCAGGTTTATGCTTTACTTGAAGCTCACATTCAGTCCAATAAAGCCTCCGAAACGCGGAGATTCAGTTGAGTCTCCCATCACAACCAAACAGTTACGCAGATGAGTGTAGAAGCCGAATTTGGTGCGATCTGGGTCCGAGAATAACACAGGGTTGACGGAAACTCGGAGACTTCGTCTACTTAAAGAGCCCCAAGAAGGGCGAAACCAGTCGTGGGCTGTCGAGGTGTTTTCAGCAACCTCATGAGTATTGCGCTACGTTTAAAACTGTTCCTTCCCAACCAGCCTGGTAGGAGACACTCGGGTTTCCTGTCCCAGATGAGTTCTTCTATTCGGCCAACCAGCACACGACACTGCTCACACCTTACGACCCTTCCGAGGAAATTCGTGTTCACATGCTATCTTCAATATCGGTTGAAGCTGATCTTATGCACGGCAGTGGTACCAGAGCGGAATTACTCCAGGTATCCTAAGTACCAACTCAACTGAACCCCAAATCAATCGCTATTGAGGAACACTGTAAACGAGATGTTATTTGAAACGCGTTCGAATCTCCCGACTGTTATGGTAGGACGCCCGCATAAGAGACTCATCAGGAGCCACAGGGAAGTTTGTCGTAGCGAAGGTTGCTGTAATATCCCTTGAGTGTCTAGTTGACATACCGCCTGAAGGAAGCATACGGACTGAGCTGCTGTCAGGTTGCCCAAGCCTAGACAGGAGCAGTCTAGATGGGTTCGAACCAAGGAACTTGCAGCAGTCAGCTATCTCAAGCTCGGAAAGGTTATTCGTGGAGTATCCATTCACTAGAATTCAACCGTACCATTGGGAGAGTTATTTGACGTTTGTGACTGTTGGAATAATCCATGACAGCGGATCATGAGCCGAGCAGTTGGCAAGTCAGCTGAGGAAACTTGCCAAGATTGTAATCATCCAATGTGATGAGGTCGGGTTCGAACCTCGGACCTTCGGCCAGTCAAGTCAGCTGAGGAAACTTGCCAAGATTGTAATCATCCAATGTGATGAGGTCGGGTTCGAACCTCGGACCTTTCGGCCAGTAAATTCGCGCTCTAACCACTTGGGCCATCTCGCCCCTATTCGTAACAGAGCACAGTCAATCTTGTGTCGGTCCCTTTAATCAGGCACAGCAACCTATGAGTGTCCATTCGTCATCCACATAATCAACATTCGCCCTCAACGGTGTTCTGAGTGACAGTTATGAATCACTGATATTTCACGCTCCAGTTTCCTGATGATATTGCTTTCTATGTTCAAAACCCCAAGAAGGTGAAGAGCTTTCGGGTATGCAAGCCCTCTTCAAGTTTCAAGTAAACAAATGCTCAACTTTGACGATCAAGTCTGTACTTCTAGTATGATGGCACAACCTCCACGCAAGGATGAGCGAGCCTCTCGAGATTGACACACAGCGCTACCATAAAAGGTCTTCGTGAGGATGGGTAACTATCCTGATGAGACAATTCACCATTCACCTGTAGTCAGATCAGTCCCCACAGCGGATCGATAATGCATTTCGTTTGATCATAAACATGAAAAAAGATCCCTCGGCCGCCACCAACAGCCCGTAATCAAGATGGCTAGTTGAGATCTCAAGCGACACCTGACACAGTCAGCTGGAAGTCGAACGAACCGAGTGCTGAATACTCAATCGTACACCAATGCCACTGGTGAGGCCACGAGGTTTAAAGCTCTGTAAAACGCGAACCTATCGAGGCCACCTCACTGTAGACAAGACAAAAACAACTGTGTAAAAGACGAACACAGCAGCCAAATGTGAGACAAGTGTCTGACCACGTGTGAGCGCGATCGCGAATTCACGGTAGACTAGATCTGATGCAGTTTCTCAAAACGGATGCCGCAGGGTTTGAGATGAAAGCATGCCGGATCGTAAAACGTTGCTTTGCAATTTTCACATTCCCTGGCACTATTGACCTACTGCAAAAGGGCGTGGATCACGCTCAGTTTCGTGAACAACTACACAAACCAACTTCACCGGGCCATCTGGAAGCAATTAACGGTCGGGATAAAATCGTTCAGCTGTATCACCATTTCGGTGCCTAAATGCCATCCCACCAGAAGCCTAGACAGAGGAAGTCGATAGGCAGAGGTCGGGTTCGAACCACGGACCTTCCGGTCAGTAAATTCGCGCTCTTTCCACTGGGCCATCTCGCCCATGAAAACATACTGCGATATCTCGAATATCGTACCAACTCAAACGTGAGGCGGTCTGTGTGCAGCACATTCAGTTGTAGAATACCGTAAACGAGAGATTCAGTTAAGTCTCTCGTGGAAACCAAATTGATTTGCAACTGAGTGTAGTTGTCGAAATCAATCCAATGTGGGTTCAAGTAGAACATAAGGTTGACGAGAAGAGAACTCGGGGACTGCACCTAACTGATGAGACCCAAGAAACCAATCGTGGGCTGTCAAACAACTTTCAGCAACCTTGTGAGTGGTTCCTTTATGAAAAAGAGAACTCGGGGACTGCACCTAACTGATGAGACCCAAGAAACCAATCGTGGGCTGTCAAACAACTTTCAGCAACCTTGTGAGTGGTTCCCTTTATGAAAATTAAAACTACACTTTTTGTTTCCGCATGGCCTCGCGGAGCGTAACTCAAACACAGCCTGATTAATTTTATTCGCGAATTTCCGAGGCGATGTCATGTCTGCAATGTCTAATCTAATCCGTTCGATTGACCAACCACATTGACCTATTCGAGCCGAAACTGAAATACACTCTGGAACTGCTTCCTTCTCCGGAATTTCCCAACAGTCCACTCGGCATCTGAGCTGTCCACAGAATCGTCACAAAAAACCCCACTGATAAGATGGCCCATTTCATTGTTCTGTTTTTGCCTTCACCTCTTGAGTATCGACCAATCGATTGTGAACAATGCCCGCCTGTCATAAACACACGCGTGTGCACTCATTAGCAATGGTCGTCCTGCTGCTGCTCCTCCTCTCGGCTGGCGTGAATTATCCCACCTGGATGTCGTCTAGGCCAAATTAGTGGGCATAACAGAAAAGAAGGATGCAAGTAGACAAAGGATAATCCATTATGATGAGATGGGTTAATGCTCTGTCAGTTTAATTGAATGAAGCGTATACGCTCACTCCCCATCCCGGGCATGCGCATCAAACCGTCACTACTAACTACGCGTGTTTTATTCTGTGTAGTCAGTCTGTCACGGACTGTGGGCCGTGTGCAAACGCTTCCCCACCCAGATTGTTGGCAAACGCGACAACATAATTGCTACCTGCAATTCGATAATGAAAATTAGAAGCGTAGGTTCAATTAAGCCTCGTCGATGTTATTGTTCTGTCGTTATTTTAATTTGTCTCAACGTGTGTGTATGTGTGGGTAGGTGTGTGTACATCAGTTCGAAGACATGCTCCCAACCCTATGTTGCGGGCACACACACACACTGAGAGTCTAAAACAGGGCCAATAACGAGGACAACAACAACAACAACAAAAACGACAAATTAGCGCAATCGCAAACCAGACAGAAAACTCCCTAAATCGAAATCAATCAAAATCCAATCGGTTACAAACTTGATGGTAGAACAATGCAAATCCAAAGTGGTTCGCGATTGGGGAAAACAAGGCGATGATGCACAGGAATAGCGAGTTTAGGGGGGGTGTTGGAGGATCTTACGCGGTGGTGATGATTACAACTCATGTGCTCGGCGAGGTGGAGGAGGCTCGAAAATTCTGCTTGGGTGGGTGTGTAACAAAGCAAACTAACAAAACAAGATATATGGATAGACGAGGCAAGAGGATAATTACCATGAACGAAACGGAAGTACAGAGTTAATTATGGCCTAGACTGATGGGCGCATAATTAGGCTAGCATGGTGAATGTCATTGAGAGATAAGGGGGGGGGGGAAGGCGGAAAGACAGGATAAGCGGCAACAACGGTAGTGGGAAAGGTTCTGATTGTTTACGATACGCGAGAAGTTTCGAGGGCCCAGTGTATGACACATGGCGCAGGGTTCCGTTGAGCTGTGAACAGTAAATAACGGGCGAATGCCACTAATTACCCAACGCATCGCCAAACTGACGTCTGTTCATCCTCTTTCCAGGTCAGTTCACAAGAGAGCAGTTGTATGAATAGACGTCATGGGGATATAGCGTCCCACTAGATGAATTAAGAATGGATTGTTCTATTCATTCGACCAGCGAAATGAGATGTTCCATGGCATCTATACGATTTGGGGCTCGATTAGTGGCCGAATCGCTGGATGACATTTACCTGCTAATCAATCATTTATATCGACTCCAAGTCCCAACTTTCTCATCTCGGGGCCGCCTGGAACGAAAAACCTTGTCCCTCAGCCATAAAAATCAACAAACTGACTGGTTAAAACATGGAGACTAATCCTAAGTATTGTAGGGTAGAAATGAATAGAATTCCCTTGGACCAGAAGCTTCGACTCGTCAGCCTATCCTGGGACAACCTCGCGAAAACTCGACACGGGCTGTTCTAGGTGGTATACCATGGTGTGACGGCTTGCATACCTCAATAATCGATTGAGCCGCACTAAAGGGTGTACACGAATCATCCACAGAGTCTCTCCCGCCAGGTTGGTCAATGAATAGAGATATGACGAACACAGTCTCCTGGCCCTCCAAGTTCCGGGTTGAAACAAGTGAGACAATTTGTTCCTTAGAATTTTCGCCACCTGACTAGTCTCATGCCAACTACAGCCGCCACGTGATCAGGCTTTGGTTGAGGTCCCTAGTCATCCTGTCTAGCTAGCCCACATACAATCATGAACTGAACAACAAAGCTGTACGTCTTGATGATACGTGCTTCTGTGATCCAAAAAGGACGGTGATATGTGAAAGAATACAACTCATCTCGCGCTAGGCTCATTTACCTGTCAGTGGAACGGTTCATTAGATGGAACCAGAATGCCCATTATGGAGGACCTCTCTCCTCGGAAGGTAAAGATTCATGAACTGAGACAAGGCTGTACGCAAAAGGCCTACTCTGATAACAAATCTACTTGAAATCGTCATCCCGCACGGTACTGGCTGACACTCTGCCATCCAATATAACAATATACTAATAGAGTAGAACAGGGTTAACAGGATAAGTGTGGTTCTACCGACATTCCTGTTCTTGCAGAGGAGTTTCTCCTTGCTGGACGAGTGGAGGGAACTTTTTTTTAGGAACTTTACCACAGCATTTATGAGTTAGCCACTATCTTTATATATATATATATATATATATATATATAT